TTTAGTATTTCCAATGAAAGAATAAAGAGAAAAAAACCTTCAAAACGTTTTTTGTGCCATCATGTCAGCTCGACATGCTAGTGTATTTCCGGCCTTGCGCTCTGACTACCCTTATCTCGTTTTACCCAGATAAGGTTAATTTTTTTGGTAGATATTTCATTTCTACCCAAAGTTGTTTCCCACTTCCACCTATCCCAATCTTTGGTTTTCTTCCTTTTTCCATCACCATCTACTCCTCAAGAAAGGATTCTCCATACGTTGGATGTAAGATGGGCTCTGGCCTTCTACATAGCCTGCACTTAATCCTTCAGATGCTCAGCCCAACTTTTTGTCAGCTACCAACTTCCTGCCAAAGGTTTTCAAGTTACCTCGCAGAGAATATCTAAGTGGGTTACGTCTACCATCCAGCTTGCTTATCAGCTCACTCAGTTTCCAGCACCAAAGAGTATCTGCCCTGATTCTACCAGGGCGTTGGCAACATCTACAGTGTTTCTTCGGGGTGTTCCCCTATCAGATGTCTGCACCTCTGCCACACGGTCACAGCCATCCACATTTATCAATCACTACAGATTGGATGTTTGGCAGAAATCCGATGCTGCTTTTGGGCATGCTGTCTTATCATCTATCTTAGCATGACACCCTAAGGTAGCTTGTTAGTCACCCATAGTGTGATTCATAGGGGCCATGAAGAACATGGCTATCTACCTGTAATTGTAGTTCTTCAAGTGGACTTCTGTGATTCACACATCACGATCTGGCCTCCCCACTGTCACTCCCTTTATGCGGTGGTTGACCTAACTGAAGGGAGAGCCTTGGTGCCAAGGTGCATATACCAGGGGAGAAGAGTCTGCACTAATGTATCTTTTTGGTACTGCAGAAGCTCTAGAATATTCCATGCAGAGGCTCCATGCATGCGTGCATTACCAATAGTGTGAATTACAGAGGTCCACTCAAAGAACTACAATTACAGGTAGGTAACCTCTCATTCTCAATCATTCGAGGGTGCAGGACAAATAATAATGGGTTCAAGTTATAGGAAGCCAGAGTTTCGTTGAATATCAGGCATAACTTCCTAATTGTTACAGCCATACAACAATGCAACCAATTTCCCCAGGAGGCAGTGAGTGCTCCAAGACTGGTGGCATTCAAGAGAAAGTGGACAACCATCTGCCAGATATACTTGGATCTGCATTCCAGAAGGGAGTTGAATTTAATGATCTCATAGGCCCCTTCCAATTCCATTATTTATGATTCTTCAGAAATGGATGGCACCAGCACCTTTAAAATGTTTACCTCCTCTCTCTGGTTAGATGTTCAGAATTTCAAAAAACAGTGGTGCCTTGACTTACAAACTTAATCTGTCCCAGAAGATGTTCGTAAGTGGAAATGCTCATAAGTCGAAGCACCATTTCCGATTGAAATGCATGGGAACTGCATTAATCTGTTCCAGTATTTCAAATACCAAAATAATAATAATAATAAAGAATAAAAAAATAGAGTCCCATGCTGGACTGCAAAAAAATCCAAAAACATAGCACAGAAACATAACCCACCCCAGTTCAAACCCACCCTCCAAAACCTAAATGCACTTAATCCTTCAGATGCTCAGCCCAACTTTTTGTCAGCTACCAACTTCCTGCCAAAGGTTTTCAAGTTACCTCGCAGAGAATATCTAAGTGGGTTGCGTCTACCATCCAGCTTGCTTATCAGCTCACTCAGTTTCCAGCACCAAAGAGTATCTGCCCTGATTCTACCAGGGCGTTGGCAACATCTACAGTGTTTCTTCGGGGTGTTCCCCTATCAGATGTCTGCACCTCTGCCACACGGTCACAGCCATCCACATTTATCAATCACTACAGATTGGATGTTTGGCAGAAATCCGATGCTGCTTTTGGGCATGCTGTCTTATCATCTATCTTAGCATGACACCCTAAGGTAGCTTGTTAGTCACCCATAGTGTGATTCATAGGGGCCATGAAGAACATGGCTATCTACCTGTAATTGTAGTTCTTCAAGTGGACTTCTGTGATTCACACATCACGATCTGGCCTCCCCACTGTCACTCCCTTTATGCGGTGGTTGACCTAACTGAAGGGAGAGCCTTGGTGCCAAGGTGCATATACCAGGGGAGAAGAGTCTGCACTAATGTATCTTTTTGGTACTGCAGAAGCTCTAGAATATTCCATGCAGAGGCTCCATGCATGCGTGCATTACCAATAGTGTGAATTACAGAGGTCCACTCAAAGAACTACAATTACAGGTAGGTAACCTCTCATTCTCAATCATTCGAGGGTGCAGGACAAATAATAATGGGTTCAAGTTATAGGAAGCCAGAGTTTCGTTGAATATCAGGCATAACTTCCTAATTGTTACAGCCATACAACAATGCAACCAATTTCCCCAGGAGGCAGTGAGTGCTCCAAGACTGGTAGCATTCAAGAGAAAGTGGACAACCATCTGCCAGATATACTTGGATCTGCATTCCAGAAGGGAGTTGAATTTAATGATCTCATAGGCCCCTTCCAATTCCATTATTTATGATTCTTCAGAAATGGATGGCACCAGCACCTTTAAAATGTTTACCTCCTCTCTCTGGTTAGATGTTCAGAATTTCAAAAAACAGTGGTGCCTTGACTTACAAACTTAATCTGTCCCAGAAGATGTTCGTAAGTGGAAATGCTCATAAGTCGAAGCACCATTTCCGATTGAAATGCATGGGAACTGCATTAATCTGTTCCAGTATTTCAAATACCAAAATAATAATAATAATAAAGAATAAAAAAATAGAGTCCCATGCTGGACTGCAAAAAAATCCAAAAACATAGCACAGAAACATAACCCACCCCAGTTCAAACCCACCCTCCAAAACCTACCAAGAACAGTTTTTTAAAAAGGAAAAAGCAGCACCTTAACAGTCCAAAGCCTCCTCAGCCTCCCAGGCTTCCACTGCTGCTGTGACAGCCGCTGGCGGGGAGCTTGAGCCTGATGGACGTGCTTCAGCTGCTCGCCTCCCAGCTCGCCTTCCACTTGCTCAGCGCCACCCTCCATGGGCCGATGGCGGGAAATTCAAATGGCGGAGGGCGGCGAGGAGCGAGCAGGAGGTGAGCTGGGAGGCAAGCAGACAAAGAAACCTGGCCAGCTCAATCTTCTCGGCACTCCGCTGCCTCCGCCGCCGGGAGATGAACCCATCCCGTCCGGGCTCTGCTTCCCAGAGCTGGGTCGGTCCCTGCTGCTCAGCTCCCAGCCAGGCTCCTGGCACTTGGTTGTCCCCACTGCTCAGCACTCAGAGCCCAGCCAGAAGCTGAGCAGCGGCGACCGACTCAGCGCCAGGAGCCAGAGCCCGGACGGGATGTGTTTGCCTCCCAGCTGTGCTCTGCCTCCTGGCACTGGTAGGTGCTCAGAGCCCAGTCAGGAGTCAAGAAGCAGGGACCAACCCGGCACTGGGAGGCAGAGCCTCTGTCCCCACTACCTGGCTTCCAGCCGGGCTGCAGGAGCCTGAGCCTGGCCAGGAGCCGAGCAGTGGGGCTGACCCAGTGCCAGGAACTAGAGCCCAGCTGGGATGGGTTCGCTGGCACTTGGTCCCCGCTGCCGCTACATCCCTTCTCCTAACCATTGGGGCAAAAGAGCTGTGCCAAGAAGCAGTCTCTTCGCCACCAACGGTTAGGAAATTTAAATTCCCCCCCTTTTCTGTTTGTAGGGTGGGACGTGGTGGTGCTGCAGGCTAAACCACAGAAGCCTTTGTGTGCTGCAGGGTCAGAAGACCAGCAGTTGTAAGATCGAATCCACGCGACGGAGTGAGCTCCTGTCACTTTGTCCCAGCTCTTCACCAACCTAGCAGTTTGAAAGCATGTAAATGCGAGTAGATAAATAGGTACCTTCTCGGTGGGAAGGTAAACAGTGTTCCGGGCCTAAGTCGCGCTGGCCACGTGACAACGGAAATTGTCTTCGGACAAACGCTGGCTCTACGGCTTGGAAACGGGGATGAGCACTGCCCCCTAGAGTCGAACACGACTGACTAAAAATGTCAAGGGGAACCTTTACCTTTCTTTTCATAAGTGGAAGCTCTGCTCACAAGTCGATGCAAAATTTTGCAAGCAGAGCTGCTTGTAAGCAGGGGCATTCATAAGTTGAGGCACCATTGTAAAACTACAGAGACTAAAAGAATTCTCTACTAGTCAGATTCCCTCAGAACTATATACAAAAACACCAGGCTACTTCATAATCTGGCTTTCTTCAGTTTTAGAAGGGAATCACATTTCTCTAAATGGAACTACAGTCCTATGCAATTGAAATTATCAGTAAGAAACATGAACGCCAACACATTTTCTTTATTCTATCTTTATAAACTATATCACACATTTTGCAGAGTAAAATACATACAAAGCGGCTTTCCATCTGTATCATAATCAGCAACACAACTTGGTAAGCTAGATATGCAGTAAAATCTGGCTACTATTAAAGTGTGATTCCATTCTATTCTGCAGGAAGCATCTGAACTGTACCATCATATTTCTTTAACAAAATTGCCAACTCGGAAAAAAAACTATTCAAGATGACAAAAATGTTTGGACTTGTAAGAGAAAACAAAAGAGAAGTTAGTCTTTCTTGTTTGAAACCTATCACCCTATACCCAAAGATTGTGCCTTTGTTTAAAAAAATGGGGCAGTGGAATCAACAAAAAGGTATGTTATTAGACTTTATACATTTACTAAGAACTATGTAAACCAGTTTGGTTCACTTTAAGCAAATTCATTCTTTATCTAGAAGTTTTGAAAGATTCATCTTGGTTCTTTCAAGAGCTGCTGTTTTTGCTCGACGTGATGGTCTTGAACTTGTCAGTGAAGCAGATTTTTGAACTTCTTTAGTGCTAAAAGAAGAGAAACAGTTTAAATGACATAGAACCAGCTAGTCGTATCAAATTGTTTTAGACTTGGAGGTTGTCCTCAAGTATTTCATTCTTTATTACAAATCAGGTTTCGTTACCTATGAAACCTCAGGCTATATGCAGCTCTCCCTGTACTCATTTCTCACTTCCATTCACCTGCTTGCTGCCATTTCTGCTCCTTTCTTATTTTGCTCAGCCTCTGCCTGCTCCCCTCACACCAACCAGTGTTCCTTTCCAAAGCCCCTCCTTAGTCAATTAGAATAAAATAAATTGATCAACGTTTTAAAAGATATTCTTAGAAGAGATGAAAAGATGGCAAACTTATTTAAACAAGAATTATGTGATGAAAACCTGCAGTTTTAGAAAGTGATGTGAAAGCTGCTTTCAAAGCATTCAGAGGAAACAAATCATGGTACCAATAGCAATAGAATTATTCCAAGCAACAGAAACTGAATCTATCAAAACTCTGATAAGAATAAACCAACAAATATGAAAACAAAATGGCCATTGACTGGAATCTCAAAGGACATGCTAAAGAGTACAGTAACTAGGGATGTGTAATTTGATATTTTCCTGTTTTTAATTCAACTATCAGAATTCTCCAAAACACCTGCAGACACCTTCCTTTTACTCATCTGCATAAGGGTGAGGCCTCTGAGGCTATATAGCATTCTAGGCTTCATTTCTTGCTACAAGATTTCTTGCAAGGTTGCTGCTGCAATGCTTCCTGGGTGTGACAGTCTGGCTACCTTATGCTATATAGAGATCACACCCACAAAGCACTGTTGGAACAAAAAAGATCTGATTATAAACTTTAGACACTGGGGTCAAGGTAAATTTCCATTGGCTAACTTGCATAGGACAGCTTAATTAATTATTCCACTAGATTTTGACCCCATTGATATCCACTTAGCTCATGAAACCACCACCGTCAGCAAGCACCCAACAATAAGAAAAAATGAAGGTACTGGCAAGGAAATGGAGGATGGATTGTGCACCTGGAAAGCCCAGTGACTTGAAACAGTGGGGAATCAAAATCCCAGGTATCACTAAGCACAACCCTTCCTCCATTCACACTTGCAACTTCTTTCCTTTTCCTTTACCGTGTGTTGCTATTAGTTTGATTTCATGTTATGCCTCCCAGAAGAAAAACCAGCATGTGTGGCTTTTGCCAAGCTACACACTTCCATAGCATTCCATAAGAAGAAGCTGGTGGTAAGCCAATTCTGAATACTTCACCCCTTTTGTTGTTTAGTCGTGTCCGACCCTTCATGACCCCATGGACCAGAGCTCACCAGGCCCCTAGAAAACCCCAAGAAGGGTAATCACAAGTCAGAATCAACTTGGTTACACACAATTATTATTATGTGTGATTAATAATAATTAATTATTATTATTATTAGATGATTAATTGACAAGCTACAATTATGGATGACTATATTTGAGGTGTTTTGTCTTCTTTTTACTTTTGCTTTCTACATGAGTAGCAATCAGACTTTCAGGAGAGTGGACTGTATCTTAATGAGAGGATTGACCACTAAAAGATACTGTTCGTGATGTCAATATCCACCAGGCAGTTCAAAAACTGTGAAGACTGACATAATGTGCACCTTGATGTAAGCAAATGAACAAATAGATTTAGGACTGATTAAACATCCATCTTCTTTGGAATGAGAAAATAAGTGTGAAAAAGTTTAAAAAATATTCCAGTCAAATATAGTTCAAGTTATGGCTGAAGTATTCCTTATAGATAAAAGAAATTTTTACCTTTCATCTTCTGACTCAAACATTGTATGACTTCCTCTTCTGGGCACACATTTTCCTTCCATTTTTCTCAGACCTAAAAGTAACAAAGCAAACATAAAACTGTAGAATTCAATATTGTTTCTGTTGTCACTGGACCCACACTGCAATTCTTTAAGACTTAATCATGCACAATTACATATATACGTATGTAAAAAAATCTGCTAGCATTCAAATATCCATGGGAACATTAGGACAGACACCTTGAGCACAATACACCAGACATAACTGTAATGGGACAGAGAAATATCTGGGTAATTGACATTGCAATTCTAGGATACCAGAACTGAAGATGAAGAATGGAAAAATTAACAAAATAGAGACCTGCCTAGCAGAAAGCATATGTTGTTTGGCAACGGAAAGACCTTGTTGAAAGTTATGGGTGAGTACTTTTTATCTTCTGGTAAAGATTCAACAAAGGTTGACATATTGTCCCAAAGGAAATGCTGACATGCACCCATGGCTCCCTGGTAGTTAGCGACATGCATGGTGAATGCTGCTGATGAGTAAGGCCATCTTCCCATTCAGTCATTCCTTTGTCTTTATTTGGTGGCATGAGGGTTTGTCGATGTAGAGATCTGGATTGAGAGGCTTTGACAAAAATAGAGTTTGGAGTTGGTTCTTTTTGAAGAAATAGAGCTCCAGGATCATGGACTCTGTAGAGGTTATCGATTCGTTTAAACATGGTATGGAAAGAGGCTGGCTTTGTCCAGGATCGTTGAGTGGTGCTGAGTAGAGACAGAAGCATCGAGATGTGTACTGGAGTAGCTGTATCTTTAGAGACTGGGTCATATAGATCAGTGGTTCTTAACCTTTGTTACTCAGGTGTTTTTGAACTGCAACTCCCAGAAACCCCAGCCAGCACAGCTGATGGTGAAGGCTTCTGGGAGTTGCAGTCCAAAAACACCTGAGTAACAAAGGTTAAGAACCAGTGATATAGATGATTGGCTGGTTCTGTCAAAGGACGGTGGATTTGGAGATTGAGAGACAGCCATATCGATCATAAATTGGGCATAAGTCTGAAAGTCTTCTGCTGGTGATGGTGGGTTGGCATCAATGAGGTAGGATTCCGGTGAGGTGAGTAATACTGATGGTGTCTGAGGTCTGGATCTATGATCAGAATCGGGATTGTGTTTGGAGTTGATGGATTGTCGATCGACCTCTGTGTCGATAGGTTGAGTGTCATAGTATTGACATTTGTGGCTCGATATCGATGGAGGCATGTCCATGGGCATTTGTCGGTGTTGAGGATTTTTGATACTGAGAGATGTCATTCAAGTTTCCATGGACGTCATTTGATATGGTTGCACGTCAGTGTTGAACTCAGGGTCATAGTGATGTCGAGTTTGATGGCTTGGTTCTACTGGTCAATGGAAATCGTGCGTTAATAGAAGGATAGAATGAACATCCATGGACCAGGATGGATATCGAAGATCATTGATATCAGAGCCTGTATCTCACTGATGTCGAAGTGGAGGTTGCTGACGAGCTGGTAAAGCAGTGTAGTATATAAACGCTGGAGATGCTGAGCAAGTGGAATGATTTCCTTCATCTGGATTAACGGGAAAATATCGGGAGGCTGGAGCTTGTAAAAGCCTTGAATGTATAAGCAAATTGCTCGATTGTCCTGGATCTTTTAGGTGCCAAGTAGGGAGCAGGTTGGAGTCCATGTGGGTCAGGTGATATGGCCGTTACGGCACCAATGGCTGTCGAGATTGAGGTCTGCCATGAGAAGCTAAGGCTGAACTGGATAGAGCAACTGGCTGATTGGCGATAGCAGTTTGTCCTGTTGAGCACTGGTTGGGGCAAAGGGCAACCCGATGAGTGCTGAACACGGGTCTGAGCCATGCATGTTGAAATAGACTGCTCCAGGGGCTGTTGGGACCAATGTCTCTGAGGCAGTCATGGTGGACGATCAGATGTTACCGAATAAGGTATGGTCTCTAGTTGTTGTTTGGAGTCGACCCTGTCAGGTGAAGCAACTATGGGACGGTTGCTCAAAAGAATAGTGTTGAGGACTGGGAGGAGAAGATGTTAATCAATCGACTCTGTCATCCCATTCCAGTGATTGGGAGCAGGGTTGATGAGAGGGGATTCGTCCATTGTCAGAAGGTGTACCAATGGAGATTGATTCGGTGGTTTGATGAGGCTGCTGAGAGATGATTGCAGCTTTAGATTTATGTCGTTTAGGTCTTTTAGGCAGAGAAGGTTCCGGGACTGAAAAGGCTTCCGTGGACATTTGATGTTTAGCAGAGGGGTTCGATATCGAGAATTTTGGTATTGAGCGCTTCCATTTATGGGTTTTTGAAGTTTTAGACGAAGTGGATGAAGCGTCTGAGTGGGATGGTGTGGTCGATGGATGTTGTTTTCAGGCTTCAGAAAGAGCTTTTTCCATTGCTTTGGTTTGTGAGGTGGCCTTACAAGGAGGTTGGGCCATTGTGGTTGGTTGAAGGGATTGCTCCCAAAGACAGAGTTTAAATCTGGATAAGCGAGAATGGAGGACTCCACACTTGAAGTTCTTGCAGTGCTGGCAGGAGGATGTCTGGTGTGCCTCTCCCAAGCAAAAAAGACACCTGGTGTGGTCATTGGAAAGTGGTACAGTATTTTGTTATCACAGATCACGCAGTGTTTAAACGGGCCCAAGGGGGCCATGAATAGGAGAAAAATGTTTTGAGGAGAAAAATGATGACGGGGTGCTGCTGCAGCTGGTGGCCGAGCGAAGCAAAAAGGAAAAAAAATCTGATGATAAAGAATTTGATCTAAAGTTTAAAAGAAAAAAGATCAATAACAGGAAGGAATCAAGAATAAGCTTTTTCTCTTTTACTCACAGAAGCAGAAACTATGAGGCTCTCAACGTGGTGGTTGAAAGAAACTGAAAGGGGAGCCTCGGTGCCAAGGTACTTATATGAGGAGGGAGGGCCCTTATTCCAATGTGTTTTTTGCTACCACAGAAGCTCTAGAACTTTCTGATGAGGCTCCGTGCAGGTGCGGATCACCCAGGGTATGATTCACAGAGGCCATAAAGAAAAACCACCTGCCTGGCACCAAGATGTTAGCAGATTTGTTTTCTGGCAAGTAGGAACTTTCCAAAGCTGGGAAAGTGTCACTTTCACTTTCTTGTTCCATTAAATGTAATGAGCAGATCAGCAGCAAGGAAGGAGGTGGAGTTTAAATGCTTGCAGATCATTTCTGAAATCTAGAGAAGCAGGCAATCCTCATTTGCAACCTTTATGCGTAGGAGAAGTCAGGGAAGAGGGTGAGAGAGCTGGTACTCTGAAAACTCCAGCAGGAACAAGCAATCTCACTGGAAAATTTTTACTTTGCATGATGCAGAGTAGAAAGTGCTAGTTGATTGTGAAATCCAACAGCAGCAAAACACATTTGCAACTCTGTGCTGGCTTTAGCAGGACACAAACTGTCCATTCCATACACAAGCATGACCTGAAAACATGCTTATCTTTATATGTAATTTAATGCAGTACTAGCAGGTAAGGATGAAAACACTTGTTTACAGTTGGTATCTTGCTAAATGTTTAAACTAGCCTTGCTTTGCAAATGCTACAGGCAGACCTTGGAAATCGTGCAGGGACAGAGTTCAGCAAACACATTAGGCTGGTTACTCAGGGTGTGGCTAAGAAAAAGCTGGAGCTAGGAAAGGGCATCATTAAGTTTTACTTGTATTCTGCTACTTCTATATTCCCGTTGCCACAAGAACAGATCATGCTCTTGCAGCAGCAGGTCAAAAATCCACTGCTTAAAGATATTTAAATCACAATTTCCCTGACTTCAGACCAATTTTGATTTTCCATGACCAATTTCCATTTCCCTGACTTTCCAGAAAGTGGCAACCCTGCAATACTAAGGTTTTGGGTTAAAACTTGCATCTGTTATACCCTGTTTTCCCGAAAATAAGACCTAACCTGAAAATAATCCCTAGCATGATTTTTCAGGATGCTCGCAATACAAGAGCATCAAGAGTCTCCTCCAACACCACAGTTCGAAAGCATCTCTAAAAAATAAGTCCTAGTTAAGTGAAACCCCCGTCCTCCACCATTGTGCAGCCACCAGAAGAAGATAACATGACTGTATTTGAATAAATGTAGACGGTAGTACATGAAAAGAATTAAAAGTCACCTGATAATGAGCCCTAATGTGGTTTCTTGGAGCAAAAATTAATATAAGACCCGTCTTGTTTTCAGGGAAACACGGTACAATACCAGTCAATGTTTTTATAATTTTGACTGTGCCTAGTGTTTTTGAACAACAGCAGCAGCAGCAGCAGCAGCAGCAGCAGCAGTAGTAACAAAGCAAGTCCTAAACTCTTTCTCTAAAAGTGCACACTTTGTCAGAAAATTAAGTGGATTTGAATTTAATTGTTACTCCCTATCAAAAAGTGCACTCCTGGTTTGTTGTTGTTGTTTACTCGTTTAGTCGTGTCTTCGTGACCCCATGGATCAGAGCACGCCAGGCCCTCCTGTCTTCTACTGCCTCCCGGAGCTGGGCCAAATTCATGTTGGTCGCATCGATGACACTGTCCAACCATCTCATCCTCTGTCGTTCCACTCTTCTCTTGTCCTCACACTTTCCTAACATCAGGGTCTTTTCGAGGGAGTCTTCTCTTCTTATGAGATGGCCAAACCTCAGTTTCCTGTCCTTCCAGTGAACACTCAGGGTTGATTTCCTTCAAGATGGATAGGTTTGTTCTCCTTGCAGTCCAGGGGACTCTCAAGAGTCTCCTCCAACACCACAGTTCAAAAGAAAAGC